AGCCTTCTAACAGATGTGTGCTACAGGACAAAGGGGCCCAAGCAGGGTTTTTGGAAAATCAACAAACACTGGAATTTGGAAAAACAAGCAAAGGCCATGGCACATGTGTAGTTATTATCCTGTTGTACAGGCATCTTGTGGTTGAAAAATAACAGTTCCAATGATGCCAGATCTAAAAATTACCTTTTTCAGTATCACAGATGGTGATTTCTGAGAATCAATGCATGGATGAATGAAGTCAATTTTATAATTATAACATATAAAGAATGATTTGTGTTTTATTACATCTGTAATGTTTTATTTTCAAATTAAACTTAAAAATCATGGCCATCCATTCAAAATGGTATCAAATCTAAGTGAGAATACTTAGAACGCTATTGTTACACCATTGTCAAAGTCTAATTACATACTGGCCATTTTATAAACACAAGGAGAGCCCTCAGGGTGTGTCCCAAGGAGCTACTGCCTTTTCTACACTGAAGTCACTTGGCATCAAACACTTCTTAAAAGGCTTCTAAGGTGTGGTAATATCTATGACTCATGAATTGTCCTTTCATTGCTGTACCAATTACATGATTTCCATGATTAAATGAGCTATTAGATTCTTACTTCATTTGTTTACTGCACATAAATAGCATTACAGTAAACACTGTGTTTATTAAGGCAAATTCGTGGCATCCACTTGCCAGATATTACCCAAAAAAGATGGTGGGAGAGAATCTAGTATCACTGCATCAATAGTGCTATTTATATGAAGGAAGAGAAAAAAGGTGACTTTATCCCATACCCAAGGAACACAACTAGAGGCAACCTGTGAACTAGTAAGAACTCCATTCTGCACTTGGCCAGAGTGCTAAGAAATGGAGGAAGCCCACAAAGGGGGGGCCCTGGAGGGTGCTCTTGGGACTGAATGGAAGAGTGCAGTGAGGCTGGGGGAGGGCAGGAAGAGAAGGCAAGGGACCAGGTGAGCAAGAAGCTCACTCAGGATGATCACTGGGTAAACCAGCAGATGAACTCAGGTCATCAGTTACCGTTCTGAACCTCAATCTTCTCTTCTATAAAACAAGATCAGTGGGCGCCTGAGTGGCTCAGTCGTTAAGCGTCTGCCTTCGGCTCAGGTCATGATCCCAGGGTCCTGGGATCGAGTCCCACATCAGGCTCCCTGCTCGGCAGGAAGCCTGCTTCTCGCTCTCCCACTCCCCCTGCTTGTGTTCCTGCTCTCGCTATCTCTCTCTCTGTCAAATAAATAAATAAAATCTTTAAAAAAAATAAAATAAAACAAGATCAGTGAACTACAAGGTCTGACGCCTCCCTCTGAATTTCACAAGCCCTTGTTTTTATGACTGGAATTGCATGGAATACGTGCCGTGGCAAAGGGCACGGGTGTCAGGAGGGCCAGGATCCCATCCCTGCTCCACACAGGAGTGGGCAGGTCCCCCTGCCTTTCCAAGTCTCAGTGTCCGCTGGAGCCTGGAAGCAGAGAAGTATGGCAAACAGGCCGCCACCTCCTAGGAGAAGCCCAAGGGTAGAAACAGCACGGCTACTACCACCATTTTTTCCTAAATAAGAGCATCTGGAATACATTTAATGCTAAACTGTCCATAAGCAGCATACATTTCACTCACTGCTCTCCAGCACATGGTGTATGTACGTGCTCTTTGGGATAAAATGTTCTTTCTTCTGAAGTTTTTACATGGTTCACGGCTTTAAAGTATATACTTAATGTTACACGATCCCATGGGCATTTGAAGAGGCCAGTCAAAACATCTAGGACACCACAAGTAAGCTGGGTGAGCAGCACACACACTGGAGAAACATAGACTCTGTCACCACATCTTGCTTTTATCAAAATTCTCATGTCAAAAGAAAGTTACTCCAGGACTATGAAGAAAGTGCAGGAAAATCAGCCCTGTCAAGTGAAAACAACACAGAAGAATACCCAGGTGTGAAGCAAAAGTGACCTTCAACAACACTGAGAAGTTGGAAAATTGATGTTCAGTCATCTTCTTCCTCCCCTTTTATTTCTACCTCTGCCCTCCCTGCCCCACACCTCCCTGCCCTGTCTCTCTTTCAGCACCTGAGCCACACCCCTCACACCTAACCAGCACCCCACATTTATACCATCCCTCCCTAAATTCCAGTCCTAGTCAGCTATGGGGGAAGAAATTATACTCACAATTTAACTCACACTAAATGTTAAAATCTGATAATGACTGTACTGTTCTTTCCAAAGGTATTTGGATTTTAGAAGACATATGGGCAAAAAATGTTAATGCCAAAGTAATAAACCTCTGAGAGATTTTCAGGTCAACTGGACAAAACCGTTTGAGGAATGAGGCCATGGGTTGTTCAACTTTTCAAATAGGTCTGGATATCTGAGCCATAATTTAGTGGGAAATTATGCCAACCATTAACTCTTTTCTTTCTCCACGTTTTCTTGTCAGTCTTATTTGTTTGGGTAATGGAGGAGATGTGGTTGGGAAGATATTGTTGTATCATGTCCATAATCATTTTTTTCTTGTGTCTTTCCCATCAGTCTTACCCTGGTTTGGTCAACTATCAGTACATCTTTTACATGCCAGAAAAATATACTGTACTTAAACTTATGTCCAGGTTGAGCTACACAGACGTGGTCTAAATTCATCATTTTAGGTTTTTATTCTTGTCAGCCTATTGCCTGGTAAAAGATGATTTTTTTAAAAATCCCTATCTTCCACAAATTTGGATGAGTATTCTACTCTTCACTCTCAACATGCTGTCTTTAGCTAGTTATCAAGTTGGCAGGACTCTCAACCTTAGCACAATTAACATTTGGGGTCAGGAAATTTTTTGCTGGGGATAATGGAGGTATCGTGGGCATTGTAGGATGGTTAACAGCATCCCTGGCCTCTACCTACTAGGTACTAGCAGCACTATTCCAAATATCAACCAAAAGGGTCTCCAGGCCTTGCCAAATGTTGGGGGTGAGGGGCAGGGGCAAAATCGCTGTCCTTTGAGAACCAGTGAGTTAAAAGAAGATTATGAAAAACTCATAGTTGGGAAGAAAAATTTAACAGCTGTTATTACAAGGGTGGTAGTGTGCTATGCAATTCAGAATTATCCTCATTCACTAGCCCCATACCATTTTATTCTAAAGGAAAGAGTATCAAAAGCTTCAAAGAAAAAAAGAAATGATTCCGCAATTAAGGAAGTGTCTTAAAAAAAGGACTAGGGGAAGCCCCACCATGAACCTCATCTGGAGGAGAATTCTTCTGTCTCCTAGTCATAGAACATGCTCCTTTTTTATTACAGTTTGTGCTACTAGAAAAGAACAAAACTACTTAGGACATACATGCACCTGACCGTAATCAGTTGTGTGGACCTAGAAGACAACTGCAAAACAAACTTCAAACACAATGTTTAAAACTTAATTTTGTGAAACCTATTCAAGTTACTAAAATAGAGAAATAGCACTAACCCATATATATTGGGTTACAAGTATCTTTTCAGTTTTACTGGATAATATAAGTGGTTGATAAAATTTAAAAATTACGGCAGGCCTGAAAAAAAAACTAGACCTGCATCTTTTGCTTGTTGTTATTTTGGAATCAATAAAGACCCAAGTAATATAAAAGCACATTTCTCATTCATCAACCCAGGTTCGATGGCAAAGCTTTGGCCTCGTCCTCGGTCACCTCACAGGTGTGAATGACATTCCATCAGCATCCCATGATAAAGAGGTAACTACTGGGGAGTGAAGCTCTGCACCTGGGCAGATTCTTCACCTGAAACCCAGGAAGGAAGGCCAAACACAGAGCTTTTAAAACGGAGGTCTCACCTACACTTACAGGATGACAGTTAAAATATACTGATTCTCTTTCAGATTCTTCCAGTGTTGTTAATCAGCCCATTTTATGCCCTTTTCCTCCTCTACTTTATAGACCAGTTGGTCTCAAAGGGTGGTCACCAGTTGGTCTCAAAGGGTGGTCCCAGGTCAGCAGCACCTGGGAACTTGACAGAGATGCAAATCATCAGGCCCCACGCCAGACCTAAGGAATCAAACTCTGGGAGACAAGGTTCAGCAGTGTGTTATAGCCCCCCAGGTGATTCTAATGCACCCCTCAAGTTTGAGAACCAATAACTGTAGGCCAGTGTTATTTCTATAGCCACAAATAGATGTGTGTGTGTGTGTGTGTGTGTTTTTACAGAACAGGAAAGTGTACACTAGTGAAAGGAGTCCTCCGCGCACTTTGTATAAATTCTAATTTGATCCTCAAACCTGATGCAAGGTAGACGTTACCCCCACTTTAGGTATGAGGAAACAGGCTCAAGGTCCCAAAGCTAATAACTGCAGGTGGAAGATTAAAGTTTTTGCAGCTTCTGTCACTATTAAAACAAAAGTGTGTCGCACTTTATTAACAAAGTCCATATCTTTTGCTCTGAAAGCTTTCGGCAATTAGGAAAAAAACAGAAATAAATGGGTGAGAGCAGTGTGCCCGCTGGCTCGGATCCTACCAAGTCGGAGTTTCGGGGCACGACTCTGGGAAGGTATTTTTCCAATAAAGAGCACTTAAGTCAGCTTTGGTCCCTCCGTCTTTGTCCGCGGGACTGCCCACCCCCAACACAGAAGGGATTGGAACTTCACGGTGGGGACCCGGGCGGCATCTCCGCGAGCCCGCTCACCTCTCCGCCGCCAGCGTCCCCTAAGCAACAGGTTGTGTGCGCGAAGGGAGCCCGCCGGCCAGGCCCGGGCACCCTGCGGCTCTAGGCCCAGGGGACCTGGTTTCCCAGGGGAAACTGGCACACTCCGAGGCCGGGGGAAGTGTCTAACCCGACACCGCAGCTCCGGGGGAGGAGGGGGCGAGTGGTGAACCCGAAACCGCCGAGGGCTGCGCGGAAAGAAACCACACGTCCCACTAAGGTCGGAGTGAAGAGAAGGAAGAAGCTGGAATGGAGGGGTGGGGGAGAGAACCACAGGAGATGGAAATGGGATGGGGGAGGAAGAGCCGGCCAGCACTCACTGTGAGGATCGCTCTTCTCCCGGACCCCGTCCACACGGCCATCGGGGTGGATGCGCAGGAAGAAGCCCCCGTTTTTGCAGTACAGCCGCTTGGGGTCCTTGAAGTGGCCGGGCGGGAAGGCGCCGCTGCCGCCGTCCTCAGGCAGGGCGGGCAGCGTGGTGATGCTCCCGGCTGCCATGGCCCCACCGGGGCTCTGCCGGGGTCCCCGCGCCCCTGGAGTGGC